ATGGGTAGGCGGCTCTGACGTCACGGCTGCGTGCGGTGGACGGTCCGCTGTGGCCAGTCCCGACCGGCCACAGCGATCGCTGTGTACGGTGACGGAAGGCTGACGTAGGGACGCAGTGGGCGGAGCTTCGAGGCTGTGTGCGGTCCGACCGCACACAGGGTCCGTGAACAGCCCTCAGGATGACTGGACGCCGACGACAACGAGCGACTGATAGGCGGGAAGGCCGGCGGGACAGTTTACCTGCGCGTCCTGAACACGCGGGCTCATGGTGAAACGCGTGTGTAACCTCGTGTCAGGCTGGTAGAAACAGTACACCGGAAACGAAGGGATGACAGAAAATGCAGGCTGGAGAATTGGCGAGCTACGAATATTAATGGCTGTAGTGCTTACCTACCTACTAACCCAGTGAGAATTTTATTTATGAATTCGTTCCAATTTACTGTGATGGAAATTACTTCATAATGGCTCATCCCTCTTAGATACCCTGCATACGTGCCAAAAGTGTACAATGGGATCACAAATGCCTCCTCTTTGGACCACTAGAATAGGTCCGCTGAGCTCGAGTTGCGTATTGTGTTCTATACTTGATGTTTATTTTGACTCGCCTCGTAAACATTCGTAATTCGCCTTTTGGTCCATTCCCCACGTCATCCTTATAGCTGTACCGAGCCGGAATATTTTCGTCGTCGCGCTTCGCTTGTAACAGTGACTCAGCGAAACGATAGGAGCCGTCTTTGTTGGTCTCAGCCCGCTGGTATTTCGCTCCTGCCCTTTTGTCTGCATCCGTTATGTGATTTGACGCTTTGTATGGGGCTCCGAACGCCGATACCGCAATTGTTTCTTCTACCTTGTAAAGTGTAAACTAAAGCTGTTAAGAACAAAATCCTTTGGTTTCAAAGTTGAGTCCGTATTTTTGTCTGTTCTGTCTGTCCGCATTGAAACTCTGTCTTGTGATCATTTTCGGATGAGAGGTGCGCGTATGCAATGGGTTGTAAATATCCGCACGGCTCAACGCCTCCGGCGCTGCTCCTCCCCGCCAACAGGTCATTCCTCGGCGGCGGCGTGGCCCGTCACCCCTCCTCTCTGGTGCCCGCTCGCCGTCAGTTATCACGTGTCTCGCATGTGGCTGGTCTGTCACCCGCCCGCCCGGCGGGCCAGCAGACGGGTCTGGACTGGGCTCGCCCTGTCAGTTGTCACGTCCTGCGTCGGTTAGTTTACCCCGAAACTAACAGCTGTGACGGCCTTACCCGCGAAACGATGACTCGCACTGACGGGGATTCCAGACACACTCATTTCTCATCATGCGAGGCAAGTCACGGTCAATTAGCATAATGCCACTCGAACAGCGCTCGAGCACATGCGCTCAAGCGTTTGACGCTGGTCGCCTTTCGCCCTGGGAACCCCTGGCAATGGGCCCGTGCGGCGCAAACGGTCCAGTCAGCACCGTCACCGGGATAATGGGTGTGGGGGTTCCGCCGAGCCGCCGCAGGTAAACAGTGACCACGTGGCCACTTCAGGCTGTTTGACAGCACACAAACCAGGAGTGTCAAGCGCTTCTTTAGATGGTGCTTTCCAGTAGTGCTAACAATTGTCAAACTGATACGCCTAGCATAGCTAGGCGTCTAGCGTAGCTGGACCGAAGATTCGCACACTGTATTTAACTATTTAGAGGTAATAGTTTGCTTCGTAATTGTTTCGCATGGTTTCTGTGTTAGACTGAAGATGAATTATGAGCCGATATGCAAGTTGCGTATGATTTACGGTTATGAGAAACACCTGTAACGCATCGTGATCTGAAGCTGCGCCGACGCGCGGCTCAATCAGTGATAGGTAGTGAACGGGATGCGCTGCGCACGACACCCAAGCTCGGTATCTGAGGTCCTCAGCAATGAGTGTGCGGTGTGCATTCATGTGTGCACGTTGCGCCTTTGCTGCCTAGTGCCTACGCTCTTGTCAAGTGCAATGACTGGCAGCGTTGAACCGGGAATTGGCCTTCAGGAGCGCGCGGGGACCTTCAGGCCAAAAATAGAACTCGGAGACTCGATGGGATATGATGGCAAACGCCATCTATCGTGTAATTACGAGCGAGCGAGCGCAGCGAGCGAAGCGAGTCTTTTCAATATAACGGAAAAATCTCAGTATGAGCGGCCCGGCCCGGCCCGGCCCGGCCCGGCCTGTAACGCTTTTGGGAGGCTTATATCTCAGCAGCCGCTGGACCGATTGGCCTGCGGTCTTTTTTGCTGGGTAGCCCCATCCAGACATGTGCATGGATCCGAGAAAATGGATCTGGGATCTGATCCCACGGATCCTGATCTCGGATCCGACGGGATCATAGATCCAGCTCTGTAATTTATCGAGAGATCCGTAGGGATCACAGATCCGAGTCTCATTTTTTGCTTGAGATCCAGTGGGATCATAGATCCTCACTTATTTTTTGTCAACACATATATCCCAAAAAAGCACTTGTTTCAACTCAAAAACGTTCTGTTTTAGTGATTTTATGTGATAACACGTCATAATCCACAGTTTTGTGTCACTTATTGGCATTAGAAACCCTTTAAAACATGGTTTCAAATGTGGTGCATGGTGGGATCCACTCAGATCATAGATCCATGTTCTTAAATAATCGTCAGATCATATAAGATCATTGATCCAAGATGTATTTTTCACGCCGGATCCGGTGGGATCATAGATCCCAACCTGTACTTTGCTTCGAGATCCACTGAGATCATAGATCCATCACTCGGATCCATGCACATGTCTGGCCCCATCCCTTCTACCCCGTAATTGACTACTTTTGATACATCTCAGTGACCGTCGTGGCACGTGCCACGTGAAAAGTCAAGGGTGTTCAAGCTGTTTTGCAAAAGTAATGATTTTTTAGAGGCCCAAATCTCAGCAGCGGCTTGAGCGATTGTCTTGCGGTAATTTTTATAGGGTAGCTGCATCCCTTCTACCAAAGGTCGGATACTCTTGATCTATGTGAGTGACCCCCACTGCACGTGCAAAATACAAAAAGAAGAGGTGCCAAATTTGTTCCCATTTCAGTTGCTCGGTAATAATTACTGGGGCGATTTCGCTGAAACTTGGCATACAGGTAGGCACCCACCAGGCAATGCATTCCCATGTGTTGCGGTTAGGGTGCTACTGCACGTGCGCACGTGCAGGGGGCGTTTCCAGATCTCGAGAACGGCTGGGCCGATTTCTCTCAAATTTGGTACACGGTTGGGGACCGGTTAGAAGGGGGCCGTGCAAAAGTCATTTTGGACCCGTTTGCACGTGCGCACGTGCAGAATGCCGCTTCCAGATCTCAGGAACGGCTGGGCCAATTGCGTTCAAATTTGGCACACCGCTAGCGACCGGTTAGAAGGGTGCTTTGCACAAGCCCGTTGGAAGTACCCTCTCGCCCTTCCGCACGTGCAGGGCTCACTATCTCGCTCGCTCGTTCTTCGCCCAAAAGGCGTTTTACTGGTACTTAAGGATTATGTAATTTTGGGACAACGAACTACATATCGTAGACAAGAACGGTTACCTATTTTAAAGCATTCATTTTTTTCAAGTGTCTACCCTATTGGTCTAGAAAATGAAAATGGTTGCCATGACGTTTAGGGCCGTCAAGTTCCATTTCCCCATGACGAGAGACGCCTCACCTCCCTCCCCTTTGGCACACCTGACCCCGTAGATAGGTGGGTATCTACATATTTCACCATCGAGCGAAGGTTACTGAGTGCGTGTGACCTGGGCCACTCCTGACATTCCTTACGGTGCTCAGCATCTTGATCCCGGAATCCTATCGACCACTATCCAAAGTCCACTCTCTGCTGGGGCGCTATCGAACTTTGCACGGCCGCCGTACGGTATGGTTTGTCGGCCGTCCGGCGGTCAGTGTGTCGTCAAACCGTGGGTACTCTCAGGAAGCCGATCACGTGCTCTCGGCCCGCTATCTCACGGCTATCTTACCGTCACGTGGCATCGAACAGCACCGAGCGTCTTTCGTAATTATCACTTTCAATCACACGTTATCACATGCCGTAACAGCCGAACATCCTCAATAATTCTTCTTTAATGCGACCTCCTCAGGCTGTTTTCAATCTTTATAGAAACGATGGTTTATTGCAAAAAAAATAAAAGTCCAATCGAAGCAGCCTTCGCTCCTGTATTTTGTATGATTTTTGCCACGGGTAGGATCCGTATTTTGTCTTGTCTTAGGTACTCTGCAAACGTTAGTTCGGTTTCGGTTTTGGCTCATAACCAGGCATCGGTAAAATCCTTTTTGAAAGGATTGCATTCCCAATCCACATTCCTAGTGCTGAAGTGGATTGCATTCCTACCCGCAATCCCCTTTTTTCACTTGGATTGTGATCAAATCCGCAATCCTTTTTTGCAATCCTGTTGTATTATTATGTGCACTAGTGGATCTGGAGGAGGGAGGGGGGCATAGGGCCGTGCCTCCATCCCCAAATCACCCATTTCTAGTACCTAGTCTTGCGAGTAATTCCTATCTAAGGCACAGGCATTTTATGGGAAATATTTTTTGCCTCAAACACCCCCACATTTAAACCTCTACCCAACCAGTGTTTTATATTTTTAAAACTCGCCCTCAAATACGTAATTTTGCCCTTCCTATGTAGTTCATCAGCGTATATTATTTTGAGCGTTTAAATTAAAAGCGTTTAAATTATTTCAAGTTTCGATGTAAAGCCCTTAATAGCAAAGTACATTAGCCGATGAAGCCGATCTCATAGTTTTCGATCGCAACAAACCATTTCAAAGCACTAATCAAACACAATCCGGATTGGATTGCAAAAATTGGAAGTATGATGCAATCCAATCCGCAATCAAATCCTGTTTTTTGGAATGGATTTCAAATCCAGGTGCAATCCACCAAAAAGGAATGCAATCAGGATTTTGCAATCCTGCAATCACAATCCTACCGATGCCTGCTCATAACAGATGATTCTGATCACCTCAGTCTAACTCCCCACCCCCTCTCTCCCCAGAGATGAGCCTACACAAGCCGACCGGCACCAAGGAGCGCACACCGAACGCGCCCTGCCTCATATATGTGGCCGGCGGCTACTTCCGCTACAGCCTGGACAAGATGGAGTGCTTCGCGCCGGCCGACCGGCACTGGCACGAGCTGGCGCCCCTGCCGGACGCCCGCTCGGGGCTCGGCGGCGCCTTCATGGGCGGACTGCTCTACGTGGTCGGCGGACGGAAAAACAACACCACAGGTGGGCAGAGGGGTCGACCAGTGTGGGACGGGTGTGCGCGGCCGCTGCTTTGGTGGCTGGTGGGCGGTGGAGGCCGGGGACGGAGCGGTGCGCTTCGACGTATTTTTAGCTGCTAGCTACGTGTGATTGGTTGGTCTGGCTTGGTGCAGTGATCCTGTCCAAAATGGGGAACCCAAACTGGGCACATGGTGCGGGATATTAGGAACCAGTAGAATGACACGCTACGTCGAACCTTGTTGCGAGGTAGTTAATTTCACCGGTCGGCGAGGCGAGATCGGGGACCGTATCGGCTCACCTATGCCCAGTCCTGGAAAAAAAAAAACATTGAGTTAGTGGCCGTGAGGTCGCCTATTGAGCCAGCCCCGGCACGGTGCGTGGTGGGCCCGGTCAGTCTCTGCAGCCGATGGGTCCAGCTCGGTCAGCTCACTGAGCCGACTGCGAACAGGAACAGTCGACAAACCAGTCGGCCGGCGGCGCAGCGCGCGGCCGGCGCGCAATTCTGCTGACTCACTGCGGCCGAGTTCTGCCGAGTCACGGTCGGCGCGCCCGAGCCGCCCGATCGGCTCCCGCGGGAGGCAGGCAGGAGGGGGTGAGCCAGTGACACCGGGCCGGCGGCTGTTTGGCATGTCGACGGGGTGCAGACGACCTGTTTACATTCGGGGTGGGTGCGGGCGATACGCAGCCGTGTAGCGGCCGGCGCGGGCCACTCCGCCGGGGGCCGAGAGGGCCGGCGCGGGCCACTCCGCCTGGGGCCGAGACAGGCGTGTCGCCCTGCCGCGCCGGCGCCGCGGCCGCGGCGGCGGAAAGGTCGGGTCGCTGCCGCGCAGCTGAGTGCGTAGTTCAGCAAACGTCATAGAAACGCCCACACATATTTGGGTCAGGGACTGGCGGAGCCAATTATCATATGCCCGACATCGGCGTATAGCGTGGACGGACCGATCAGTGGTTTTATACATGCACCAGACCCCACCGGTCTCGGCCGCCGGGTCGACAGCTGTGCTGCATTTCCCAGGAAGGTGTGACGCTCAGTTCCTGTTGTGTTACGTCACACTGACATTTGCGACGGATCTGGGAATCGCCGGCCTTCAAACCCCGGCCTCTGATTGGCCGAGTGGCCCGGCTGTATGACGTCACGGGGATAACCTCTGCCAGTGGTGTCTGGAGCGACCGTTACTAGCCGGGCTGGTGGCTCGGTAAATTGTACCCCCCACCCCCCATTCCTTCCGCTGCCCGACACATGCGCAATATGTTGTCGTCCTGTCTGTCGTATCTGTGGTATCTCGCTGATCTCTTGGGAGCATAGCTATCACATCCTGTCATGCTGATGTGAGCCAACGATGCTTTACCCGCACATACTGTCATATCAATATTCACTGCATGCTGCTCAGTAATGCTTAAAGCTTTAAATGTCAGCATACCAGAGTGCTGTTTGACGCGTCCTGCTGCTCTTCTGCTTAATGCTGCTAAAACGCCTGGCTATCGCAGTTGTCCGGGGAAGGTCGGGAGGGGTGGGAGGTGTAGCCAGTGACGTCACGTTTTGCTGTGCGCTGCCGTTTCCTGCCGTAACTGTAACAAGATGAGCTGGCTGGAGATGGATGTTTGGGCTGACCTGTAGATCGCTAACGGCGCTGCACTTGATTTTGATATCGGCAGCGGCAGGCAGCAGAGACGAGGGACGCACTGCACACGTGCCAGGTAATACGGGCACTAACCTTTGCTAACCAGCCTGCTGGGTGCATGGACAAACCCGCTGACTTCCGCAGCCACCAGGGAAAATGGCTTTCTTTGTTTAACGCATGTGTAATGCATGTTTCTGCCGCTTCTCGTCGAAAATGTAAACCCGCATGTGTATCGTCTCTTTTCCCTCCCCTCCCACTCACCAGCGACGCACACACAAATCGCCCCAACGCCATTGTGTCCCCTGTATCCAGATACCATCGTGTAATCACTACATCGCTGAACGCCCACCCCCGCCCCTCTCCCCAGCACCACTGACCCCCCTCTCCGACCCCCAGGCGTTCAGGACACCAACCGGGTGGACGTCTACAACCCCATCTGCAACACGTGGCGCACCTGCCCCGGTATGATGGTGGAGCGCAGTCGACTGGGCGTCGGCGTGCTGGACGGCTACCTGTACGCCGTCGGCGGGTCTAACGGGCAGGAGTGTCTCAGCAGCATAGAGAGGTGCGTGTCGCGCAGGGAGAGGGGTGCGCCGCGGGAGAGGGATGGAGACCGGCGAAGCGCTCACGTACGAGAGTGTTTGACGAGCATGTTAGTGGATGTGCTGAGGAATGTGTACACTACAGGATGTGAACTGGAAAATAGTGAAGAGCTGCGGGAAAGACACTGGTGTTTGGAAAGGAAAACAAACACGGAGGAAGAAAGCGAGCGTTGCCGTGAGCGTCGGTGTGGGGCGCGGCAGGACAGGACTCCTCTGGTGTCCCCGGCTCGGCCTTCCCACGTCGTGGCGTCACGGGCCACAGGCGGTCCAAGATACCGGCGGGCGGCGGCCCGCGGCCCTATCGGCGCGGCCCAAACCGCATTGGTGGGATGATGGATGGGAGAGATGGCTGCGATATATCGATAAACGCCACGTCAGGCTGCTGTCCCGCTTTCGAAGCTCTATTTATTTCGTTATTTTATTTTTCTATCGAGTGTCCGATAAGATGTAGTTTTGTTGGAATCCGGTCCTCGTTTTCGCTGGGGCTGCGTGTTTCTGAAGCCTAGGCTGTATATTGAAGGATGCAAAGTTTCTTTGAAATTATTGTTTTTAGACCCTCCTCCCCATCAGCAAAGGGGCCGGAGATGCTGTCTTTCTGGCCTTATTGTAACTGATCCATCTTCTCCCCCTCCCCTTCGTGCAGGAACTGTCCAGACCGGGAGTGCTGACCCCCCCCCCCCCCCCCTCCCGAAGATACTGTCCGGACCTGGAGTACTGAACCCCTTCCCCTCGGACCTGGAGTACTGACCCCCTCCCATCGGACCGGGAGTACTGACCCCCCCCCCCCCCCCCCTCCCCACAGGTACTGTCCAGACCGGGAGTTCTGGGCGCAGCTGAGGCCGATGGCCACCCCGCGCACCGGCCTCGGCGTGGCCGTGGTCAACCGTCTGATGTACGCGCTGGGCGGCTACGACGGCTGCTGTCGGCTGCGCAGCGCCGAGTGCTACCACCCAGAGGAGGACAGCTGGACGCCCATCCCGCCCATGACGACCCCGCGCAGTGGCGTAGGTGAGTGCTCCCGGCCACCGCCGGACCGCCGCCGGGCCGCTGATGAAGCATGACTGGCGAACAGCGCCACAGAGCCGCAGCGAACGACTGTTGCCAGGGCAGGGCAGGACGCTGTTGCGGGGCTGCTGCGGCGGGATGGTGGGGTTAGTGAAGATTAATGGATTAGGGGGTCAGTGAGATAAGTCAACTGGCTTTGGCCCGGGGCAACCGCATGTGGACTTTGGAGTGTGTTGCCGGGGTCTGCTTCTTGAACTGCTGTATAGACTGTACTGTGGCGTATATTCGCAAGGCAATTTCCGTAGTTTTGGGTAAAGTTAGGTCGATTCCTATTGCAAAAAATAGGTTAGAATGTGGGATATTTTGGCAATGTAAACATAAAAAAGGCGAACACGAAAGGGTATGTCTCGGCAGCCACGGCATTGTTTCGGCTTGGACTGCCTTTGTGTCGGTGGCGGCCGGTGGAGGTATGCCTGCTGAGCTGGCCCGCGCCGGAGGGCCCCGGGGCGGGTTGCCAGTCATCCCCCGGCCGGCCGGTCCCGCAGCTGGGGCTTCCCTGTGCGAGTGCAGAAAACGCTGACTGTGCCCACGTCGGTGGTTGGCTCACCACCGTGCTCGGGCGCGCTGCGCGGCCGACTTTGAACGCCGAGCTGCGCGGCGGCCGCCGGCAGCTCGCCGTGGGAAGGAGGTGCCGCGACACCGCCGCCGAACGGCCTCGTGACGCCGCAAACTGATGGCGTCATCAACGGCCGAGCTGGCGACACGAGAACGACGATCGGATCTCGGCGGTTAGGCAGGCTGGTGCGACTAATGGCCGGTGGTTATGGTGTGAGTTTATCGTGACGTTTCGCGGGAACATTTGGTGACGCTCGGTGGCATTCGGTATTTATTCGCTGCTTGACTCTGCCATGGCGCCGGGACTGAAAACCGCCACCGCTGGAAGACACGCTGTACTGGGGGACACTGGCGTGTCCTGTGCCGACTGCACGGTGACGTATGGAGATGGTGCGTCATTGAAACTGAGGAAAAGTGTGACCTTGTCCAACATTTGGCACCGGCAACAAAATCGACACGTCAGCGCAACGCCTGGCGATTAGCGAACCATGTGTTATGCCTGTTCTAAGCTGGACTTATGATTACGGGGCATAATTCACCTCTTACAATATTGGTTTTAGCTCATAGCAAACAATCCAACTCGATGTCCGTGCGAGCCAGCGACAAAAAGCTGAATTCGTTTTAGTTGATACCCGTGAACAGCATGCTGGAAAACGGTCGTTCGCCACATTACGCTGCCGAAGCGCTGGTGTGCTAGCGCGCAGCCGTTATCAGTTATCACGGAAATTACATACGTGCAAGGCTAACTATTATAGTGCCTGGTGGGCCGGGGCTGCGCGTCCGGCCTGCAGCCGTTCCGGGATCGCCGCGGCGCCGACTGCGCGCCCGTGCCCGTGACTTGCACATTCGCCCGCCGTGACGGAGGCTGACGTGACGCTGCGCTGCGATACGTGACGACCGGTACGGCGCGGCCACGTGACGACGGCTGACGAGTCAGTGACGTGACGCAGGGACTCGCTGGCGGCGCTGGACGCCGGCATGACGTGACGTGACGGATGTCCCGTGTGACGGCCCGCTGACGTCTGCGTTACACTCTGCATAACATGCAGCATCCCGCGGCGGAACAGTATACTCTACCGATACGAATACAGAGGTGTAAATTGTAATGTGTGGGCCTCTCGCGCGCTGTACATGTATAACGGTACTTTATCTGAAAGGCATTGCAGACGAGTCATGCATGTCATCATCACAGTCACTGGACCTTCCCAGTGTTGCAGCGGCGCGCCCAGCCGTGTCAGCGTCGAGTGGGCGCTCCTCTCCCTCTCGTCAGGGTCGCCGCCCCCGCCCCCTACCTGACCCAGCCCGCTCCCGCCCTGAACCAGCCCGCCCCCGCCCTGAACCAGCCCTGCCGCCGCCCGCCCCCTACCTGACCCAGCCCGCCCCTACCTGACCCAGCCGGCGCCGCCCGCCCTGACCCGCTCCGCCCCCGCCCGCAGGTATCGGCGTGATCGACCGGTTCATTTACGTGGTGGGCGGCTACGACGGCTCGCAGCAGCTGCGGACGGTGGAGCGGTACGACACGGAGGCGCGGACCTGGCGGATGGTGACGCCCCTGCCGTCAGCAAAGTCGGCCCTCAGCGTCACCGTGGACGAGGGCAAACTCTACGCGTTCGGTAGGTGGCAGATGGGGTGGAGGCCGGTGGAGGTGTTACGAGGGCGCGGGAAAATGTAACTGATGCTCGAAATGTTACGGGGCCCGATGCAGAATGATGGCTGTGAGTTAATCCTGATTACACTGGTAGTGATGTGAAATATCGATATTAAGCTCATACTGTCCTGAAGGAAGAGTGCTGAATGACACTCATCGCACTTACTCTGACTACATGGTGAGTTGTGTGCATATATTGCATTGTGTCCAACTGCGGGCTATCCTTCCGGCCCTGAAACACGCGGCGCCCCGCGTGTGAGCGGGCGCCGCGACATTTCAGGCCCGTTAGTGCGACGAGCCCGGTCTGACACCGAAATGTCAGGGGACTAGCGCAGAGTGCCGGCCGGGCCCAGGGCCGCAGAATATTCCGATAAACTAACGACCCGGCGGCACAGGGCTCCCCAGCAGGGCAATCAGCTGCTGGTGGGCGGGACTCGGCGACGGCGCGGGGGTGGGAAAGGGAGGAGGGGTGGGGGGGGGGGCTCGCGGCTGACTCAGTACAGACGCACTGAGAGTGAAGGCTGGCTTATTGCGCACTGAGGTGCCAACATATTGATCTCAATCTCTTCTGGGAGGTTTTTTTAAAGATATGCTGGCCCGACGGCGAGGTGTCAGCGGCAGCGCCGCCACACTCGTCGCCTAAGCTAAGTGGTCACGCGAGCGGCCACTTTGGGCAGCGATCCGGGCGGTTAGGTCCCCGGCGGGCGCCCACACGGATAAATAGGCCCTGTGTTGGAGCCGGAGCAGAGTTGGAGGTTGGCCGAGCCCGGCCGGGCCACTCCGGCCGGCCAAACCCGCCCAGTGAGCGTGACTTTCACCTGGCTTGTTGTGACGCCGTAATCGGCACCTCTGCGCCCTCTGTCCGGCCGCTCTCTCTCTCTCTCTCTCTCTCTCTCTCTCTCTCTCTCTCTCTCTCTCTCTCTCTCTCTCTCTCTCTCTCTCTCTCTCTCTCTCTCTCTCTCTCTCTCTCTCTCTCTCTCTCTCTCTCTCTCTCTCTCTCTCTCTCTCTCTCTCTCTCTCTCTCTCTCTCTCCTCTCTCTCTCTCTCTCTCTCTCTCTCTCTCTCTCTCTCTCTCTCTCTCTCTCTCTCTCTCTCTCTCTCTCCTTCCTCTCTCCTCTGCCCGGCCGGTAGCGGTGGTGTGATGTGCGTGCCGGGGTGGGAGGGGCGCCGCCGCCGCGCCGGCCGGCGGACCGCTGTACTATGGACTGCGGGAGCCGGCGACCCTGAGTGGCCGGTCCGCCGCGCCCGGCGCACCGTGGGGACTTTTGCGATCCTAGCACGACATAAGTGGCAAATACGAGTATTTTGATTTACACTTCCTTTATATTCTTTTTACGCAGAATTGTCCAGTGTATCCGAATCCGACCTTAAATCGCTTTAAAAATGATGACTTATACATCAAAATACGTCACAAAGTGATGGGTTGAGCTCACTAGCACCGTGCTCCTAGGATAAGGCGAAAAATAACATGACAACGGAACGCCTGCTCACTCGTTTAATCAAGCACCAATTCGATGTTGCGACATGTTTTTATAATCTGTATTTAATGAGGAATACGAGCATATGCATAAAAAGTTGGAAACATAATCCAAAGGTAGGTATGATTTTTGAATGAAATACAAAAAATGTTAATATGCCACTCGTCTCGGCGATTTGACTCGGCAAATCATAGCCTTACAAAGTGAGTTACGCGGTGTTACGTGTGGAAACACATATCAAAATATTCTCCCATAAATTCTGCATTGGAATCAACTCTTATCTTTTGCCCAATTTTGCCCAAACAGCTACTACGAGACATCAAAGCAGAAGATGTCGCGTGGCTCCCAGCGCTCCGCCGCGCTGCCCGGCGCCGCGGCGGTCAGTTGACTGTGACGTACCGCCGCAGGAGTAAAGTCGTGCTAGGAGGGGCCAAGTCCCCACAGTGCGGCGGCCGTCGGAAGTGGCGTGAGCTGGAACTGGTCATTCCGGCGGTGGATAGCCGGGCTGAGACCTTCAGGGGAAACGTACCATATTATTAATTGCGGGAGATAAAGTTGGCGGCATAAAAATTGCAGTCATGGCATCGCACTCTAATTTTCCTCGCCGAATCGTCAATCATCTATTGGCATTGTTCTTACTTCTTAAAATTTATTGTTTACACATAAAAATAATATCGCCTACTGTATTCTATCCAATTGAATGCAGCCTGTGGAGAGTGGAACTATCGACCTTTGGCAGCGCCGTCGGCAGTGTATTTGTACCGTGTGGCAATGGCCGTGGACGGCCCGACGGCCTCCTCAGTGTCAAGTGTTTGTCATTTCTCCGAGCTCGCCTCATTGCAGAGATAAACTACTAGGCAGGTTCATTGCACCGCTATCGGCCGACCTGCTATCCCATACACACTGATAAACGCTCCGCGCCGCTGTCCCGCTCATGGTAACTGCAGCGGGCCCGTCCGTCAGCATGACAAGGGCGGCAGCGGTTTGTTTTTCGTGATTGCGCTGGTCCACTCACTCGGGTATGATACACCAATGTGTGCTATGGACTTTGACCGTGCTGAGGACGTTGTGGTGGCTGTTTTTTTGTGGTGGCGTCTCTCTGACGGGCCCCATCTGTCCGCAGGCGGGTTCGACGGCACTCAGTTCGTCAGCACGGTGGAAATGTACGACCCGGCCCGAGACGCATGGAGCGCCTGCGCGCCCATGACCACGGCGCGCTCGGGCCACGTCTCGGCGGCGTCTGTGCGGCCTTGTTTCGCGCACACGGACCCCTCGTTACTGGACCGGCACCGTCGGCCCGACTGTGACCAGCTGCAGCAGCAGCCGCAGCCGCCGCGGTGACCCCGGCCCGCCGCCGACCCGAGCGAGCCGCGCGGCCGGCCGGCGTTGGACTGGAGGCGGCCGCCGGGCTCCGCGCGCCATCTGTGATACGGGCCGACTGAGGGCGCTGGCTGCCCTGTACGGGACGGACGGGATGTGACGTGTGAGTGGTTGGTGCCCTGAGTGCGGGTCGCTGGTGCGGAGCGCGGCCGCTGGTCGGTGGCTGGTGATATACGGGTGTACCTGAGCAGTGGCGGCGCGGCCTGTGCAATAGGTGGCGGCTGGCCGCACGGAGAGGAGGGACGGACCGGCCCTGGCGGCCACCGTTCTGCGGATCGCTCGGAGCTCAGAGTGGTGGCGGTGAGACCTGCACACGAGTCGCACCGCCGCGCCGTGGCGGCGCCGGGAAGCTGAGGTGATCTGGTCGGGGCTATCTCGCGAGACCAGAGTGGCCGCTGCCAAAGCTTGTTCAGCTGTTTTCGGGGTGCAGTGCGGCACCGTGCGGGGCGAAGGTATTTCAGCAGTGTCTAGGCCGATTTTCGATCGTGATTGGTGGTGAATTATGAGATGTTTATAGTTGTTTCATCCACTGGCGGGTAGCCCGGTCTACCCTGCCGTCGTGTGTGATGGCCGCCGGGCGGCGCACTGTCTCGGTGCTTTCTTTACCTAGTTGGAGAGCGGTACCCTCACCTGCCGTTAGCGAATCTACCGCGGGTAGACGCTGTGCAAATGGCGCGTATATTCAGAATCAAACGTTACCAGCGTGCCGCCACGGCCGCCGGGCTGTGTCCTGTTCTGTGCCAAATCGGGTGGCACCGGTGGCCGGCGAGTGTGCCTGGGCCGGCCTGCTCAGCTGGTGGGGCCGCGCTGATCAGCTGTGACGCCGCGGGTCGGCGGTGGACGGGGTCGGACCAATCTCTGGAGTTAGCGTCGGTAAGGTGGCGCAGGCGTGTGCTGTGTGGGCGATATTCGGCCATGTGACTTGTGTGTCTGCGTGTGAACATTGTGTATGACCGTAATATGTACGCACTTTTATTATATGAGGGTCAGTGTTATTTCTACACGTTATGTCATGACAACTACCGTTTTTGTTATGGACGCCGGACAGTCAGCAATAGGATATGGATGTGATCTATGTGACTAGAGGACACGGGAGCAGGACATGTGGAAAGTTAAAACGTCACAAGCTCACAACTACTTTTGCCGAAAGGTTATTCGCGATATGGCGCCATTTAGACTTGCAGTAGTATCCACACTGAAGATTTGCGATTAATGGTTACTGGCGTCCTAAAAGTGGGCATGCCTATTGTCTAGGTCTCCACCTCAATAGAAGCGGCTCCGGCCAACCAACACCCGAGGGCCGTTCATGACGTTCCGCTGCTGCTGCTCTGTTGCCAACCGATACTAAAACGTTTTACAAATCAAAATAGACTAGGGGGCACGGAGGCAATGACCCGCAGAGGGCGTGCTGACGTCATTGGCATTCGACATCGGCAGCACAGCACAGTGACGGCACGGAAAGCCATGATCTCACCTGACGATTGACAGCTGTTAACCGAGCTATCCGCGTGTAAAGAGACAGTACCGCATGAGCAATGCTCAGGAAATTCGAGCTGTCTCATCCAAGTTCGACTCTCAGCAAAGCCGTGCGAGTTGCGGGTAATGACTAAACTAAATGACAAGTAAACGAGATGCTCCCTAGAAAAAGCAACTAATAATGGTGATGTGTATTCACTCGTGGAAACATCCAAACATCCTTGAGCAGGACTAGAAGTGACTAGAGCAGATATGGGCATGTCGAGCGTCCTGCCTTTGTACTGGAGTTCGGAAAACTAGCCAACATGAAAACAATCTTAACATCTGGACGGCAGTCTCTCCAGTCATTACATTTGGTCATGATAGGGACGGAATGTATCGTAGTAGCACCACAAGGCCACGCACACACAGCTGTTGTACGGCGGCGCCATCTGCGAGATCGGTACCACGCTCTCCACTGAGATCAACATCCCACACCAATTACTCAACTCTGATACACTGCATCGATCGTCACTGAAGATGTGTCAGCGTTTGTGGAGCTGTCATAGGTATTTACCTCTCCATGAATCTTACCATATCTACCACCACCGGCCTCCTTTCCACGGCCATTCGGCGGTCTCGGCACGGTGGGAGTACCCCGCAGTGTTAGAGGTCGGGTCAGTCCAGCGGAGAGTCGAACTGTCTCCGCCGCCGGCGGCTGCTGGCCTGGGAAACAACCCTACTGTCAGAGACCGGCTGCTGGCCTGGGAAACAACCCTACTGTCAGAGACCGGCTGCTGGCCTGGGAAACAACCCTACTGTCAGAGACCGGCTGCTGGCCTGGGAAACAACCCTACTGTCAGAGACCGGCTGCTGGCCTGGGAAACAACCCTACTGTCAGAGACCGGCTGCTGGCCTGGGAAACAACCCTACTGTCAGAGACCGGCTGCTGGCCTGGGAAACAACCCTACTGTCAGAGACCGGCTGCTGGCCTGGGAAACAACCCTACTGTCAGAGACCTCACCTCGGCCATCATGGGGCGGGACAGGTGGTCTAACCGGGAAAATACAGATAACTCGGAACTGTGAGTGGAACTCTGCGAGAAAGCATGGGCTTGTTAAATGCCCAACTTTGGGTAAGGAGGCACCTTGCAGCACTGCCAGCACGTGGCGAACGGATGAGGGTCTCTGTCACCTGGATTCAGACCGAGTTACGTCAGTCGTCCTGCGGTCGTGGGCAGGCGCTCTATCGGCCCCCAATATGATGCAACGCTTGCCGAATTTCCGTAGCTGAGTCCGTCCCATATCGATAGCCGTGCCTAATAAATGGCATTATCACAGTCACCAATGACACTGCCACGGGCCGGCAGAAGAGGCCCCATTCAGCGCTCAGGGAGGCAGAGTCATTGCCCGACCCAGATCGGCAGCGATAAAACATGCAAGAACGACCAACGTCAATAAACGCTGACCCTACACGATGACACGGCACAATCTCCGCACAAACACCCTGATGGTCGATCGTTTCACCCTCGTTTTTGTTACTACGCCGCCTCAACTGCCCCTCCCCCTCTCCCCCTCAAATCACCTTCAGATCCTCCCTGTGAGTGTAGACCTGGCGCTGGGTCTCTCGCAGCGTGCGACGGTACATCTCGTGCAGATGCTTCTGCGTGGCGAGGAAGTGGCGCGTCAGGACCACCTGCTGCGTCAGGATGGCCGCCAGCGCGGCGCCCTCGTCGGCGTCAACAAAAACTGGCGGCAGAGGTGGCGAGCTGGGATGACTGGGCCCGATCGGCCCGGCAACCGGCCGGCAGAGAGGTGTGTCGCACTTACTATGCATTTCAGACCCCATGAGACCCTGTTTTTTGGCGATAATTTATTTAATATTTGTCCAATTTGCTTCAAATTTTCACAATGCACATTACAGCTCAAGCGCCAATTTTCGTCAATATGTTCTCTTAACAAATTATTAAATTTAAGGGTACTTGTTGTTGCCTCGTAATGTTAAAATCGGCTCCGTAAATCCGTCAGTGGAGTAGAGGCTATCCGTGCGTACGCGTGACGTCATTAGCACGTGACCATTAAGCTTCAGGGGGCGGTGACCTTGGCCGGTCAGTCGGCTGCGTGGAGCGGGCGGCGGTGGCTGCCGCGCCGGGGCGGCTCGCATGGAGCGTAGCTGCCGTGCAGTTGTCGGTGCAGCCGTAACTTCATCGAATGAGCAAAAAAAGCGCGCATAAGTAACGCACCAGCTGAAGCCCTTGACTTTGTATTTATCACCACAAATCTACGTAGACCCTGTTCAGTCACAAAAATATATAATTCCACACAAGATTTGGGGCTTGTGAAAAACGCACATAAAAGACTGTTGATTTCAAATGATTGCGTAAAGGCCTGGCCAGGGGGGTACGCTCCGGCTGTTTAGCATTACGAAAAGTGGTGACAGACGTTTGTGGAGGATTGTCGACGAACTCCTGTTCCGTGAGCAGCACTCACGCGCTAGCGGAAAATCCACCAATCAGCGCTCGGCAGTGCTCGACGCTGATTGGCCCGCCGCTCGTGACGACATTGCGGGGGACCGCAGTTATTCTCTATGGACCCGAATAGGCTTTTGGATTTCGGAGGGGTTTCTTTAAGATTATATGCTGTTTCGAGCTGTTTTCGAGTTGAAATATATTTCTTATGACTGTTAGCTATATAATGGCACCATAAAATCATGGTTTTGTTTAATATTACCGATGTAATATCGGCCGAAAAGACATGCTGTCTTGGCACGGACTGCCCTGCGGCTGATGTGGGGCCTCTAGTGCCAGCGTATGGTAATAATGGGCTGACGAAGGGTTATTGGAGACTCTTAGAGCCCCACCAGGATTCAGTATAGGGTCATCAGAGGCCGGGAACGTCCATCAGGGGTCTGAGTAGGCCTACCATAGGGGCATACATGACACATCATGGAACATGGGTCAATCTAGATCCATTAGGGGCCGTTGAAGGGCCATCATTGTTCAGCGTGGGCCCGCAATTACCTCTGATGGGCATATGCCGTGCCCCGATGGACTAACGCTGGCCCCTGATAAACCATCACCAGCCCCTGATAGGTCTACAAAGCCCCCTGCTGGGTCTAAATTGGTCACTGATATGCCCAAATGGGCCACTGAGAAACCCGTACAACATCCCCTGGCTGCACCTGATGGACCAATGCCGTCCCCTCATGGGCCCACCACGGCTCTTGAATGGCCTCTTCAAGTCCCTGAAGCGCCTTTATTGGCCTAAATGGACCCCTGATTGGCTTATGTGGTCCCTTATGGTCCTATATGGCCCCCATGAGCCCTCAACGTCCCTAGACAGCCTTACATTATATGCCACCGGCCCCTGGTAGGCCTGCACTGGACCCACGGCCTATACCGACCCATAAAGGGCCCATGTCGAGCCCTCATCGGCCTCCGATGACCACACGCCGGCATGTGTGGCCCCATCAGCAGTGGTCCGTCTATCCCATGTACTTACGGTCTTTTTGGCCGATGTGACACCGGTAGTATATAGAAATGTCATGATTAAATGTCGTTATTATATAGTCAAAGGTCACGGAAAGAATATCCAAGCTCAAAAATGGCCTCAAACCCAACAAAAACTGATACAAATCCCCTTCAAAAGTCATAAGTCAATGAAACGCCATAGGGGAATAGCTGCAGTCCCCCGCAATTTCGTCACGAGCATCGGGCCAATCAGCGTTGAGTATTGCCGAACGCCGATTGGTCGATTTCCGTTAGCTTGTAAATGCTGCTTGCGGATATAGTCTTGAACAAGTGAGGGTCGCGGCAACTAAATATTGCTTGTCACCACTTTTTCTTCGGGAGCGTTCTACCTGGTTTATATATGCGTTTTCTGCTTGCGTTTTTTGCGAGTTTGCGTGATTTGCATAATATCGTTTCAAAAAAAAAGTTACCTATTACTAATATAACTCCTTTAATATTTACTTAAAAATAATTAAAACTTTTATATTAATTAAAAGTTTATATAAAAAACATATAACAAAAACGTAATGTCGTTTCTTTCTAGAACGATATTACGCAAATCACGCAAACTCGCAAAAAACGAACGCAGAAAACGCATAGTGTAGCCAGGCCTTAAAATTATGTTTCAGGTCAGAGTCCGTCAGACTACGTCCAAATTGCAAAAAAAAATGTGTTTCTTAATAACCGTTCTCGTATACTGCTCAACGTCCGTCTGCCACATTCCTTTTTTTGTGCACGTCTTAACAATATAACACACACAGCGATAAAGGACAATTCTACCACACGACACATCACGCTTCTGCTCCACCCGGCGTCCCGCACCGCTTTACGAATCACGAATACGGCCGTCTCGCTGGAGTGATGCCCCAGGCAATCGGCCGCGCCCGCGACATTCGTCTTCATTCTACTTTGTTGCTTTCTGCGCCTTCCTCAGAAAAATTTATTGTAGCTGCCAAATATATCAATATTTTTGCCTTTTGGGTCATGTGGAGGCTTGCGCATGATCTCATAGGTAATCGGGTATAGTGACCTGACCCAACCTGACGATGAGATAGG